AAGCACAACAATTGAAAAAACCAGAAACCATCATGATCAAGACTAACACGTTCAAAAATTCGAGTTAGAGAGGTGACCATGTAAATTAATTATACTACATGACTATAACATCATCATCCTTACTCTCTAGTAGTAGTTAAACGCACCACAGTCGCGACGGATGTTTCCATTGTGACTATTCTTAACTCCAATGCGACCGAGTTTGGTCATGGCGGTCACAAAAGCGCGATTGAAGGCCTGAGAGTTTCTGGCCCAAGCATCAACGGTGGGCCTTGAGCGGCTATCAGTGAAGAGAACTTGATCGGAGGTAAAGAGACCTTTGCCTTGTTGAAGATTCTTAAAGTAAATATTATCGAATTTTTTGGGCGTCACTGGGTCCATGTGGATTGCGATTCTCGGGTCCACGTTCTTAGGACAAGCCATTTGAATCTCCTTAGCGTAAGCTTTGTTTAAGGTAGGGTCCACAGAGATGGTACGGTTGAAGTTGTAGATTCTATTGAACACCTTGCCGCAATGTGCGAATCCGAATGTGTGAGCCGCTGCAGTATGAACCTATTGGTTTAGATATCGTTGCACTTTGGTGATATTTGTAGACAATACTTGATATATAAAATGTTATATTTTAAGGTTTGATCAACTTGAAAGAGCAATCATATCTTCTTGGGTAAGTTTATTTTTCTTGAAAAGAGTGTTCAGTTTGTCTACATTGTCTGAAGGTCCCGGTAAGTTCCCTTTGACGCTAGATGCAGTTGATACCAATCCATCGAACCTACCGAGTTCGACTTCATAAGATGGTCCTCCGGCCTATAACATGCGTAAAAATCTTTTTTCATGAAACATTTCACAACAAACAATGCGATATACTTCACATTAATACCTTTTCCGGCCACTAGATATAATTATATAAAAAAGAAGGTGTGTTTACCGCAACAACAACATCTCGGGTGGCCAAGGTTAGAATATCGGCGCATGAGACTTTGTTCCGGCAATGTGGGGTAGCGTCAAGGGCTTTTTTAGCTTGGATCACCACATCAAATCCATCTCCGGCCAACGAAACATTGTCGGAATGATCCTTCTCCGCCTTGTTCTTAGGCGTGGACTGGATCATGACTGAGGCATCACAACCCTACAATGCGAATTCCAGCAAAGTTATTGTGAAGAAACCAATTAATCGGCTAATGAAATCGAAGAAAAAAGGATAGGAAAACATACATTGACAAAGCAGTCGTGGAAGAAGAGACGGAGAGTGGCAGGGATGGTGACAAATGTTTGCTTAACTTTCTTGTTGACAACATTTTCCACAATTTGTTCGACGTTGGAACAAGTTTTGGAGTAGAAATTGCGGCTTAGTTGCGCGGTAGTTGTATGGGAAAAAACAGAGATGGTCAGGCAAACAGCCCCGACTAGAACCATACTGAAGCGAGCCATTTTTTGGACAAACCTAAGAGAGAAAGAGAGTTGTTTTAAATTGAGCCAACACAAGAAGAAGGGTTGCTTTGTCTTGATGATGGCAAAAGTTGCACGATAAAGGGTTTATATAATGATGGGCTTGAAGAATATATTATACTATCATCC